CACATTTTCACCCAAAAGGACTTCAGAATCGACATCAGCGCCCTCACAAATGGGCGGGTGCAAGTTTGCAGAGCCATCTGAGGGGGCTGGAAAAGTAGATGGCTGCTGATGGAGGCCTCCACCCCCCCCCCCGAGAGACGCTCCCGACAGCCATCTGGTCCAGATGGGTGACTGGCAGCCTGTCACCAAATCCCACCAAACTTGCTGGGCACACCCAAGGGCACCGTAGGGGTGCAGGGCAGGCAGAATGGGGTCGAGGGAGCAGCAGAAAGGGGCTAGAAGGGTGGGCCAGGCAGGCGCAGGGAGAGCGGGCAGGCGGGCTGGGCGGCACACAGGCTGGCGCCACGTCAGCACATTTTCAACCCAAAAGGACTTCAGAATCGACATCAGCGCCCTCACAAATGGGCGGGTGCAAGTTTGCAGAGCCATCTGAGGGGGCTGGAAAAGTAGATGGCTGCTGATGGAGGCCTCCACCCCCCCCCCTGAAAAACGCTCCCGACAGCCATCTGGTCCAGATGGGTGACTGGCAGCCTGTCACCAAATCCCACCAAACTTGCTGGGCACACCCAAGGGCACCGTAAGGGTGCAGGGCAGGCAGAATGGGGTCGAGGGAGCAGCAAAAAGGGGCTAAAAGGGTGGGCCAGGCAGGCGCAGGGAGAGCGGGCAGGCGGGCTGGGCGGCACACAGGCTGGCGCCACGTCAGCACATTTTCACCCAAAAGGACTTCAGAATCGACATCAGCGCCCTCACAAATGGGCGGGTGCAAGTTTGCAGAGCCATCTGAGGGGGCTGGAAAAGTAGATGGCTGCTGATGGAGGCCTCCACCCCCCCCCCCGAGAGACGCTCCCGACAGCCATCTGGTCCAGATGGGTGACTGGCAGCCTGTCACCAAATCCCACCAAACTTGCTGGGCACACCCAAGGGCACCCTAAGGGTGCAGGGCAGGGAGAATGGGGTCCAGGGAGCAGCAAAAAGGGGCTAAAAAGGTGGGCCAGGCAGGCGCAGGGAGAGCGGGCAGGCGGGCTGGGCGGCACACAGGCTGGCGCCACGTCAGCACATTTTCAACCCAAAAGGACTTCAAAATCCACATCAGCGCCCTCACAAATGGGCGGGTGCAAGTTTGCAGAACCATCTGAGGGGGCTGGAAAAATAAATGGCTGCTGATGGAGGCCTCCACCCCCCCCCCCCAAAAA